AAGACCTTAATGTTGTACAGCTGCCTCTTCCATATCTTGTTCTCTATATGAATCCTTCCTCATCTTATTCTCCCTAGCAAAAACACATTTGGTTCCTCCAGACTGATGCCCTTCCTTTTTGCAAAATATGCAAAACGGATTTTCTTTACAAGTGGCAGCCTTATGTCCTGTTTTGCCGCATTTTAAACAAAGGGCCTCTCTACTAGGATTTACGCATTTGTCCCTGGTATGCGCTGGCTCCCAGCATCTGAAGCATTTCAGATTGGGCTCTCGTTCCTTAATTTTACTTTTGGTCCACCCTATTTTAATTTCTCCCAATGTTATTAGAGTGTTGGCTTGCTCTTCATACATCACTAGAGTAACATTTTGTTGATTTCCATATGCTGGTCGTAGCGATTTTACTTCAAAACTATCCGGTTTAACTGCTAGAGTTTCGGCCACGGACTTGCGTACCTCATCTTCCGTAGTTGCCTCATCCAGTCCTTTTAAGAAAACAGTCTTTTTCGTTTTAATAAAAGATGTTTTGGCTTCTGGTATTCTTTCGTTAATCTCTTTTAGTAATACTTCAGCCTTGTCTGTTCCATTTTTCACCGTCAGAAGCAGACCTCCTTTCCTTGTTTTTTTCATTTCTTTAATTTCAACTCCGAGCTCATTGGGATTTAGTGCTCCTTTTAGGGTTCTTATCATATCTACCTAAGAACGTTCTTCCATATTAACGACTATGGCTTCTTGTTGACGTTTCCCTTTCATGCTGCTTTTCCCAATTAGAGTTTTGTCATTGTTTTTAATTTCACTATTTCCTTTTTGTGTCACATTTGCATAGTTTGGGACACTGTAACGTACTATTTGTATTTCCGTTTTCTCAAATAGATAGTCAACCATTCTATTGAATAATACCCCTTCGCTACTTTGTATCTCTGGTAATGCCAGTTTACGCGTCTTATTTCTTAAGGTTAATTCTTTCAGTTCTCTCGCACTCTTAAATATTGTAGTCTCTTCAACCTCTCTCGATTTATTATCCTTAATTATAGGATACCAAAGTTTTCTCGTTGTAGTTGAGAGAATACCTTCTTTATCGGGAAAACTTAATGTGTGTAACATTAGAGCTACTCCACCCACACCTTTCTCTTGCTTTTTGAGACCGCTTTTCCCCCCAAATTTGCGAAGAGCATCTGTAACCTCCCTGTCGTCAGATTCAAAATTGTCCTTGCAAGGAAGTACGATGTCTACGTCTTCTGTTGATTCCCAGATTAAATTGCTGTTCCGCACAAATTTTTAGTATAACATGTATAACATTGACATGTATAACATGTATAACATTGACAAAAAACATGATCTTGAATTAACATTGGTTTTGATCATAAATTCGGCATATTGAAAGCTAAAATTTCGTTTATAGGTTAAGGAAAGTCGACATACACGATCTGCCTAAATCAGCTGATTGGATATCAAACAGGGAGGTCATAAAAAATAATTATTTCCGTTTGTTATAAAATCGTTCAAATTATTGTTATTTAATATAGCTAATTAAATTATTGATATAATCACAGAATTATTAATTTTTAAATAGCTCTACTTAAGAAACGGGAAGGTTTAGGTATAGTAACATGATATATCGTTGAAAAGCAATTTTATTAGTCTTTTGATTTTTTAAATAATATACATAGGGTTGAATTTAAAATAACAAAGATTTGAGCAATTTTATAACAAACAAAAATAAATTAATATATTTGCTCTCCCTGTGTAATATCCAATCTATTTATTTAAACAGATCGAATATATCGACTATCGATAACTTATACCCCAAATTTCAACTTAAAAAATGTTTAATTCATGATTCTAAAAATGATTATTCACGATCATGTTTTTGTCAATTTTACACATGTTTTATTTTTTATCTCAAAAACTATTAGAGATAAGTATAGGTTAGTATCACAGAAAAATTATGAGATATGAAAGTAGTTTTTAAAAATGTAATAATATACTGGGTGTTCCATTTAAAATAAGAAAGTTGCTACCACTTTTCAAATGATGCGGAAACACTGTACTGATGAAAATATTTTAGAAACATGGAAAAATCCAAATTTTCATAAAAATTCTATTACTGGTTCTTCATAAACGTCTAACGTGTCATCGCCGTAAATCACCTTATAAATAACTACGGCCTATTAATGTTAGCTGTAGAGATATAGGTATTTGGTCCTCATCGTTTTGTTTTGAATTTTTAAGTGCCCGTGCTTGGTTTCCGTTCTGCATGCCTTGGCTTAAAGGCAGTATGGAAATGATTAAGTAGAGATTAAGTGAGATATGAAAGTAGTTTTTAAAAATGTAATAATATACTGGGTGTTCCATTTAAAATAAGAAAGTTGCTACCACTTTTCAAATAATGCGGAAACACTGTACTGATGAAAATATTTTAGAAACATGGATAAATCCAAATTTTCATAAAAATTCTATTACCGGTTCTTCATAAACGTCTAACGTGTCATCGCCGTAAATCACCTTATAAATAACTACGGCCTATTAATGTTAGCTGTAGAGATATAGGTATTTGGTCCTCATCGTTTTGTTTTGAATTTTTAAGTGCCCGTGCTTGGTTTCCGTTCTGCATGCCTTGGCTTAAAGGCAGTATGGAAATGATTAAGTAGCCTGTTTAACGTTATTTTCATAATTATTTTTGTTTTCCAAGAAATGAGATATTGTAGGAACAAGAACGTTGGAATCATCGTTGATATTTTTCAAGATATCTGCCTAAATATGACTTCTAATCATCCTATCTCTTTTGGAGAAGGTCACTGGAATTGTTGATGAAACTTCTTCCGTTACAATTGTAAGATTACCAAGATTGCGAGATTATAGAACACAAAATGACCCATAATATCGCCGACAGTATATTTAAATAACTTCCTTCACATGCTACAATGTGATACATATAATGTTGCATACACGATAAATAATGTTTCTGTATGTTGCACTCGCTTTATCAAAGAAAGTGCTGCCGCGAATACAACTTACAATACCGTCGACCGTAATCTGTGTACAACATACAAATATGCATACCGGACGCGGTAACTATACCGGGTGCGTCTGAAAAGTGGCTCACCCCTATAACTTTTTTATTTTTTCTGATACAAAAACGAGATTTGGTACGTTAGTATATCAAATAAATAAATATTAATTGGGGGGGGACGTATTCAATTGTTTTTGTTGACTTCCTGTTTCACCGGAAATGACTACAACTTGTGATTTTTAAATAGCACCCTCGGTATTTTTTTTACTTTATTCAATAGAAATTGTCACTCTGAATACAATGACATATCATATGTCAACTTTTGACATTTTCGCATATGGTTTATTTGAAATTATATAATGCGGTTCAGAACGAAAATTAACCTAACTGACCTAACCTAATCAAACCAAGTGTGTGGTATAAAATTATTCGTAAAAAATGCTCGTTCCAAATATGCTAATAAGCCACCCTGGTTTCATTTGAAAAAATTGAGAATTGAGCATCTTTTAATCGGTCAGGACAAGACACTAAAAACATTAGACGATCAAATCTATTTTTCCAAGGCCTCTTGATTAAATATTAGTGTTTTTAACATTGTCTATGGCACCCTAAATTGAAATTTAAAATGCGATTTTTTATTAAGCGAGAATGTCAAAAGTTGACATATGATATGTCATTCTATCGAATAAAGTAAAAAAAAATACTGAAGGTGCTATTTAAAAATCAAAAGTTGTAGTCCTTTCCGGTGAAACAGGAAGTGACCAAAAACAATTGAATAGGTCAATCAATCGTAATTTAGGTCATATACTACCATACCAAGTCTCATTTTTTTATCTGAAAAAAATATAAAAGTTATAGGGGTTAGCCACTTTTGAGATGCACCCGGTATACCTTCGGGAAGAGGACAATACCCTTACGTTAATTGAACAGAATGTACAAATGATCTCCAACGTGCAAGATTGCATATGAGACCAGAAAAAGAATGAAATAATGAACCTTATTTTTACATGAGCTTTCTCCCCACGATATGTTGCACATGTTACTTATACACCCTGTATATTGCTTTAAAAACTTCTCTTTTTAGTAATAAAACAATTTTGTAATATTTATTTACTCCTGGTCATGATAAATGTTTACAAATAAACATTGTTTTTTTATAAAATTGTAGTTTTTTATTTTACACTCTAAAGATATCTCAAAAAGCTACTCCAAAGTACCCTTCATCCTAACCAGAGAAGTAAAGTAAACCAGAGCTGCAACAAGTCAGTTTTAAAAAGATTTAAGTTGTAAAATCGCTTATTTCTGGGGCTTACTCAACCGAGTCACAATGCAAATTCACCTCAAATATCCATTTAGTTGGTCATAGACAAGCACTCTCTCACTGTACATGAAAATAACAAAACCAACATTTACTGATCTGGATAAAATTGATAGTTAAATAGTAAGACTCACCCGGGGGTAGCGGGTAGATACTCACCTATGATCCCGATAGGTGACAGATCTACTTCAGGGATGCGCCACTGCCCACGTGAGCCTTGGTTTATCTCCCACTTCCAAAAAAAGGGGGAAACCACTGTCCCAGCCTCAGTTCCTAATCAAACCAAATATTTCCCTCCTAATATCCCTTTCAATACTTCCATGACTTCACAAAAAGTACAAAGGCCCCGAGTCCCTGGCGGCTCGAACATCCCCGATCAAGGCAGCGGACGGACAAGGAATCGAGTGCTAAGAATGAGGTGGCTTTATCCTGACGAAAGTTCAAACTCTCGAAACTTTCGTGTAGTATCGGGGGCGGTCGTGCGGAGCCGATTGTAAACCGCCTAAGCTCCTCCTCCTTTCTTCGTTTAGGATATGTCTAGGCCGAAACAGAATAAAAACGTGTTCTTCTTTCAAATTTTTGGGCAAATAGACAAAAATCATCCTAGATCATTATATAATCCCTAGATCATATATATAGAAATACATTTTTAAGATATTTGTATACTGTGTTTGTATATAAATTATATATGATCTAGAGATTTATCATGTGACGAGCAGATTTTATGCAAATATTTAAATTAATCTTTAATAGCATTATGTAATAGTTAATATCTTTTATGGGTAATTACCCTTTTATGTAAATATTTTTTAACAATGAATGATTTTGAATGTAACATTGATTTTTGATTTAGTGCTGGTTTGGCAGATTAAGATTTATGATGTTTTCATAATGTTTTCCGTCAAAAGAAATTTATATTTATGAATTAGTTTTCAGCGGAAGGCTTTAGTAAAAAATTCGAACCTTAGTAACCGTTTTCTTTTTGCCAAAAAGGTAGATATTTTTTTATGTTAGAAGTTATAACTTAATTGGGCATTGGGCATCAAAATAAACATGTGAATATCTTGACTTGGTGTTTGTTGTCTACTTTAAGTGGTACTGAATTTATTAAAATAAACGTTGTTTTCTACATTTCTGTTTTATTTCAATAACAAAATACTGGTCCTACACTAGTGTAATAACAAAGACATCTAAATTTTAGCCGAACACACGCTGACCATTTTATAATCTGATTTGGTCGATTTATGATAGAATTGCAGGAATTGTATCACCTTCAACGAAATCAGCTAAGAAGTATTTAAAATATTAAAACAAAACCTTAGAGGGAAAAAATAAAAGGCAAAACCGATTTTTAAAAGAATTTAATATAAGTATTCCAAAAAAAATATTTTAACGCCACATGATGTAACACAAAAAGTAGGTAAACATCAGTTATAAAAAAAACATTAGAAATTTATACAGTATCCTTTAAGCTAGGCTCACGTTTTTCTGCAGAAATAAGTATTTTAATTCAACACATTACTATCACAATAACTACACTAACTATATCAACTGGTTAAGCTCCGCATTATGAATATTCTTCACCCGGTCCTATTTTCAAAGTGAAGTAATGTAATTTTGATCCTGATTTATAAACAATATTATTTGAATGAAACTTTTGCTTTTAATTTTCCTGCCATGCTGGTAATTGCTTTGGATTTGTATTAACATTTTCAGGGTTAGAGTTCAGTATAGTTTGATGTTGAATTCCTTTCTAACACAATCTCACAGCTTCAGGCTTCAGGTTTACATACTATTCATACGCTGTAGATTTTTGACCTAAAAGAATCACTAAATATAGAAAAACTATGGGGAAAAGTGTTTATCATAAGCCTTACTTTTTGTTTTGATAAGGATATGGCCTGCAACTTTAGGCTTCCATAATCACTGACAAAATCTTGCTTTAAAATATTTGAACACACGCCTCCTATTTCCTTTTAATTTCTGGAAATTTGTAACAATTCATGGTGAACACTACTAATAATTTCCGTGTTTCTTATATCTTTGAAAACTCCACTGGGCAGTCTGGGCTAGCATTTAAAATAAATATCAAAACTAAGGGCTTCTATTTTCTATGTTATTCACGAGTTAAATTTTTGGTTTGTACCGATTCCGCATTTCTAGGCTTTCAGGTTCTGATTTTGCAAGATAACTTTACATTTTAAAATATTTTAAGTGTATATTTCCACCAAAAACAAATTGCGTTGACTTTTGTTTACAATTTAAAATACAAATAACGAGGGGAGGAGCCGAGATTCGATAACTTCTAATCGGGACCATTCGGTTTACCGTTCGCTTGCGTTCGGGTTTTCGATAACTTGGGCTTTCGAGAGTTTATGGTTCTCCCGAGCGTCCCCTAAGAATCACCAGGCTGCCAACATATACTGAACATAGCAACGTACAATGCACGGACATTGAGAACGGATGAGAAATTTTCAGAGCTGGAGCTAGAGTTGGAGAACATAAAATGGGATATACTTGGCATCAGCGAGACAAGGATGAAAGGCGAGAAGTGTACTCTCCTAAGGAACGGCTGCACATTGTTCCAAAGAAATTCTGAAATAGACTCGCAGGGTGGAGTCGCTATACTCATCTCACTAAACATCGGAAGAATATTGCAGAGTTCAAATCCATATCAAATCGAGTAATTTTCGCTGTCTTGAAGTTAAATAAAAAATATTCATTAAAAATAATTCAAGTATACGCACCAACTGCATCTTCTGACGAGGACGAAATGGATCACTTTTATGATGATATAGGGAGAGCCTTAAATACACCTCAAACATATTTTACCCTCCTTATCGGTGACTATAATGCTAAGATAGGCAAATGGGAGAAAGACGATGGCCCATATATAGGGAAATATGGCCTAGGACAAAGAAACGAAAGGGGCGAAAAACTTATTAACTTCCTTCAGCAACACAACATCTATGCAAAAACCCGAACAGAAAATGGACCTGGGCTAGTCCCGATGGATCAACAAGAAATGAGATTGATTATGTCCAATGTAATAAAAAACACATAAATTCACATAGGTCATGCCATAAAACTCGGCAAGGAAAATCAAACAACCGAAATTTCTAGAAGGATCAAACTCGGATGGGCAATATATAAAAAAATATAAACTTAACTTTATATTCAATATAAAAATGATAAACTTAACTTTATATTCAAAAGCAAAATCCCAAATAGCCTAAAAAGAGACGTTTACAACAAATGCGTTTTGCCTGTCATGACCTATGGTTTGGAGACTATGACTATGACGGCACAAAGTGTGAACAGGTTGCGAGTGAGCCAAAGAGCTATGGAAAGAGCCATGATGGGTATCAGTCTTCGCGACCACATTAGAAATGAAGACATTCGCCGACAGACGAGGATAACAGACATCGTAGAGAGGATAGCTAACTCTAAATGGTCTTGAGCAGGACACTTGGCCAGATAGTCCGTGGAAAGATGGGCAAAAAGACTTCTTTGCTTGAGGCCACGCCTAGCAAAACGTCCAGTCGGCCGACCTCCTAAAAGATGGACTGATAATATCCAAACCGTAGCCGGTAAGAACTGGATGAGGAGAGCACAGAATCGAAACGAGTGGAAGAAACTGAGAGGCCTACATTCTGCAGTGATGAGTAATGGCTGAGAAGAGAAGGAAGAGAAGAGAATATGATAACCTAAATCTTAATTTTGATACCAAACAATGGGCGGTATTATACGAAATGTATGCGCAGTTTCAAAAAAGCTATTATTATCGACGTCATGGCGAACCGTGTTATGAACCACTTAAATTCCATGGAGTTTGTCCTTTCGTTGTAATTGATTGCTCACATCAGAACGAGACGCTTAAAACAGGAGCAATAGATATTAGATTGGAATTTGAAACCACAAAAAATATTCCTGCAAATACTACAGCTTATTGTTTAATAATTCACGACCGTTTGGTAAAATATAATCCTTTAACAAACCTAGTGAAAACAGTATCCTAAAAATGTTTATCTTGGATGTGCAGGGATTTCAGTACAAAAACAGTCACTTTATTTGTAAAGAAATAACCATAATTAACTTGAACGATGGAACAATACATCATACCTTAGTGAATTATCCTTATGAACTTAACTGGTTCAATGACAACATTCAACAACGTATGAAATGGTTGACTCATAATATCCACGGACTTGAATGGGATGAAAATGATATTAAGTTTATTTCTTATGAAACGATTTCAAAATATATTTCAGACATTGTAAATAATGAAACGATTTATGTTAAAGGCTTTGATAAAAAAATTTGGTTAAAAAAACTTATATCAAATAATGTTGAAGAATTTCTTTTTATAGATTGTCCTAATATAGACAAGTTAAAAAGATTATATAAAAAACACTTTAATTTCCGTTGTAATAAACATTTATTTGCTGTTAAAAGATGTTCTCGAGAAAATGCTCTCTTATTGTATAACTGGTATATAAATAAATAAATAAATAAATAAATATAAATAATTGTTTTTTTTTGTTTTATTTTTTATCAATAAAACCACAAAATCCTGTAAACCTTAGTTAGTAATAAAACAATGCCTGTACCAGCAACATCTAAGTGTCCTAAGTGCAAAGGAGAATCAGATCAGCCTCACGTAAATTGTATACCTTGTGTAGCTCAAAGGTATTTCAAAGACAAGAACAAAGCAAAACATACGCCATCACATTATTTCCATGGAAACGAAGATAGAGGAAACGAGCGAGAGAAATCTAATCGATGATAAAATTATAATGGAAAATCTTTTTCAGTATAAAATATGTCATTGTCTATTTACACAAGTTTTACATAACAGTTTTGGAAAAAAATATTGTAAAACGTGTTTGATAAATTATATATACACTGAAAATACTATAATGTCTATGATTTTAGAATGCATGATTTAAAATATTCTTAACTTATGAAAAAAAAATTAATTTATTTACATTTTCAGAAAATCCCCTCCCTAATTAAAATAAGTCCTATAAAAGGTCTAAAATTAAAATAAAATTAATAGTTCAAATTGAACATTAAAAGTTAAATTTTCCATTTCAAATAATATGGGTATTAAGCTGCTATTAATAACTTATCTTTTTATATTTGTTGATGGTATGCTAATGACTTCCAATAGTACCAACAGTAATGTTTGCGAACCATGTAATGAAAATTATAATTATTTGAAAGACGACTATGATGTTTTATATAACACAAGTCTACATTTATATAGAGAATGCACTTCCAGACTTGATAACTATATTGAGTGGTATGATAACGAACAGCAAGTTAGTGATATATGCATGGATAAACTTAATGAGTGTGAAAGTAAAACGATAAATATAACACAATCCTCAAATTATACTAATCAAGTAAAACTTATAAAAAATAATATTGAATTGGAATCTACTCTAGTGTTATTCAAGAAAAAAGTTGAAATCCTTGAGGAAAAAATTCAAATTTGTTATGCACTAGTAAGTGACAACAAAGAAGAAATATTGAATTTTCAAAAAAACATGACAGATTTAATACATGAATTATACAATGTGGACAATGATTTAAATCAATGTAAAAACGAGTTACAGAAACAAACACAAAACTATAAGAAAATCTTTACCAATCTAAATGCTTGTCTCGAGCGAGAGGAGCTCTTACAAGAACAAAAGGATAAATATGTTGTTAGATTAACAACTTGCAGAAAAAATAAGAAAAAAGTCAAGGAAAACTGTGAAAAAATATGAAAATTAATAAATTTTTGTTAAAGTATAGATAATTATTATAACAACCAACCTAAATTCTTATTACCACCACCACCACTTCAAACTATGTTTATAAAAGGAGAGTTATCCTCTTAGCTAAAATTAGTAGTAGTTTTCATACCAGCAGATAAACAAGTAACAAATAACAATCATGGTCATATTTGTTGACGTTCAAGGATTTGAAGGTGATAATGATGTTTTAGCTCCATTTCCATTCCATTGTAAAGAAATTGCAATTTACAAACCAGGACATAATCAAGAACTAATACATACATTTGTATCAATGGCTCTAGAATTTTCAAATTTCTTTAATGCAAGGCTAGCAAAAGCAATATC